CATTTTGACTCATCCATATCTCAATCGGTAGAGTATTTTTGAGATACTAAAAAGCCTGAAAGGATTTCTCTCCATGGCTCTTGATGAGCCGATTTTGGAAATTCAGTTTTTCAGAAACACTAAAAAAACAATCAAAATCATCATTTAGGCCTTTTATTGTAAATTCTATAACTGTGCAAAGAAAGGTCGTGCAGAACTGGAAGATGTCGCATTTTAATCACAAATTTGCGAGCTGCAGTAGTTATATCTCATTAAGAAAGATTTTGGTTATTTTTTAGAGTTTTTGAAAACTGTTTCTCCTAGATGTATAAGAGCGATGGGCGAAAATCCTTTTAGGCATTTTAGTATCTCGATATACTCTATCGACTGAGATATGGATCAGTCAAAACGAGAGATGACACCTAGGAATGTTCCATCATTAGTTGACACCGAATATGACATAATTTAAAGTTTGAAATATCTAGCGAATGAAGAAAACATGAGCAGAACAGTTAGATTAATAAAGTATACATCTTACAAATCTGTCAATTTTACTTTGATAAATGGCGATCGAACACAGTTTTATACTTTATACAAACCGTTATATCATTAAGAATAAAGTTAAATAAAGGCAGAGTGAAGTTAAATCGATTAAAGTTAAATGTATAGTTGTGTGATCAAACATTTTTTGTAAATGGTTAAATGCGCGAAAGTATTTAAAGGATTCTTTATCTAATCGAACTGTCGAAAAGAGTCAGCTCTAATTTGTTATTGTTAAAAATATTTCCTTTTAAAAATATTAGCTCATTGATTAGAGTATCGGCACAGTAAGGTTTTTGATGGCCTGGTTTTTATTGCTAATCTTCTCCTTCATACACTAACTTTTCCATTCTTGAACATATCGAACACTACATAGGAGAGAAACAGAAGACTACTGAATTTCTCATGCCAATGTTTCTCTTCACCTTTAGAATCAAATTAAACATAAAAACTCCAGCGAAGAACCAGGATAAGAAGAAAATATTTAACAAATATTTATTAGAAGATAGACATTTCGTGGCGGATAAAGTAATAAATGAGCTCGGAAGAACGGGTTACATAACTTTCGGCGTGGTCGTAAAGTCTGATGATCTTTCGATCTGAGGCCCAAAGTCCTTCTTGACTTTCCGTCGGAATCTAAATTACCCAGGAGGTTGGGCTCGGGCCCAAGTTTCCTCCTAGTCTCTGTGAGGGTAAAGCGTAATAAAGCCGAGTGCTAAACAGTATGAATTTAAATTACATGCACAGATTGCATTCATGACGACACATTGATCAGTTAGAAGTTAATCGGAGGGGGATAAGTTCGTATCTTGCTGAGTACTACGCTTTTTTATGTTGGTACTGTGCAGTGGCGGTACCAGGATTTCGAGACTGTTGAGCGATTTTCCATAAAGTCGAAAAAATCGTTGAGCTTAGGTGGGCCGAACGTTTCCTGCATGGGCAGGAAATATTTTCAACTGTTGCTAGTTGATACTGTCATTTTCCGTCTTTGTGGTCACCGGATCTCAAGAGTGTGCATATATTGTCGAAGCTACACAATAACATCCCATACATAAAACGACATAGTGAATTAAAGTGAAGGCAAGTATAGGTCTACATATATATCTATCTACATCACATCTAATGCTCTTCTTTTTCTGTCTTTCTTACGTACAAGAAAATTAAAATAAAAATTGATACTTTTCCGTATAAATAGCGTCCTCTTTAGTAAGAACAGTTATTTTTAAGTCGATTTTTTAACTATTGTGCATGAAATTAAGAGGATAGCAGTCGCAATCTTACATACATGCTTTTTAGCACAACAAATTTCCTCAGGTGGAAAAAATTTACTCATCATGCTCAATATCTTTTGAAATGAATTCATATGAGAAGATGTGAACATGCGAAGAAATAAATGATAAACATATCCTGATTTACTTTAGATTTTTTCAAACCAAAGTTTGTTCAGAATTGGTAGACGGCGGTAAAGCTTTTGGCCGAACACTGGAAAAACATTTTGTTTTGAGCCAAGGCCCAATGCTGAACAGTGCGCAGTAAGCCAACTATTTATAGAAATACAGGTAGGCAACAGACCGAAGGTGCGGAGGGAACTTGGACCAGAGCCGAAAGTACAATGGGAAGTTAGGTCCGAGCCGAAGACTTTGGCCCTGAACAGAAAGTCTGAGCCGAAAATTCCCTGGGCCGAAATTCCAGTCTTCCGAAAGAACAATATTTGAGTCGGTGTGTTTTATTAGCTAGGATAACCGGATAAGAAAAAGAAAATGTCGTTCAAAGACGGTTAAATTTGCCTTAACAAAACACCGAATATTAGCGAAATATATTCGAATTCCCACTTTGTTTACTGCAGGAGTGCCAGGACAAATAAGGTGGTACTGAATTTAAAGCTCCGTACGATCGTTCTGGTATTTAGCTGATGAGTTGCGTAACAAACGTAACTTATAATTCGAATTTGTTCTCGAACTATTTTTTCTTATTGAATATAGTTTACTACTGACTAGAGCTCATTTAATTTGGTGTCCTTTCGTGACTCGTTTTGTGCTATGAGAACATTCCAAATAAGAGAATTCTATATATTCTCCTATTTCTTCATGCATTGTTCAGCATGTGAAAGAACGGAAAAGAACGAGCTACTTAAATAATGATTAAAGATTGGGATCAAAAGTTTCGATTCTTTGATGAAAAAGAAAGAAGTGATTGTTCTTTCATCACGACTGTCACCGTCTTGTAGGTTGTGAAAGTTTAAAAGCATCGGAGGTATCTGTAAAACTTTGAAATTTAAAAGTAATGATCACACTTGGATTATAGTAGAATATAGCTGTAATCGCTGAGAGCGTGGTTTCGAAAACTCTGTGAAACAGCCCACAAAATATTGCTTCGAATGACGAGAATGTGTTTCGCACACATCGATGAATGCTCGGGTGGTTGAAACATTAGCACGTTTAGTGTACATAACTGGAAAACTACTAGAAGCTGCTGTAGTTGTCTTTTTAACAGAATTGAAGTCTTAAAAATAGATTTTCTCCCATATCTCAGTTTCTTAGATTCTAACTAACTCTCTAATCTTCATAACAAAGTGAAGAATAGAAACTTTGTATAAAATTATTTTAGACGTGGTCGCAAAGATTTTCTGATGTTGCTGCTGATCAAACTGCTCGACAAAAGTTTGCAGCATCGTGTATTAAGTTTATCCAGGATTATGGCTTTGACGGTGTTGATCTTGACTGGTAAGCACATGCCACGTATGAGATACAACAGAGTACCAATCTATTTTTATAGGGAATATCCTGTTTCTGGCGGATTAGAGCATAACGTTCATCGTTCACAAGATCGTGGCAATTACGTTTCTTTGCTCGAAGAAATTCGAAAACAATTGAATGATGCTGGTCAAAAAGTTGGAAAAACGTATTTATTAACTGTTGCAACTGGTGCTGGAGCTGACAAAATTGCCGATATGGATTTAAAAAACATGGCAAGACATCTCGACTGGATTAATATCATGTCGTATGATTTTCACGGTATGTAGAAGTGTATTTCAGATCTTCTCTAGCTTCTACTTCTTACTAAATATGCAGGAGGATGGGACGCAAAAACCGGTCACAATGCACCCTTGTATGCGAACAAGGACGATCAGTCAGCAGACACTGCACCTAGTTTTATCAAGTCAAAATACAATTGTGATAAAGCTGTTCAAGGGTATATTGCTGCAGGTGTGCCTCCTGAGAAATTAGTCATGGGATTAGCGCTGTATGGCCGCGGTCGTCAAGGAGTGAAAAACGAGAATAATGGATTGTTTCAAGATGCATCGGCTCAATTACCACAGGGAACATGGGAAAATGGCGTGTATGATTACGATGATTTGAAAAAGAAATATATGCCAACGTATACAAAATATTTCGATGATCAATCGAAAGTGCCTTACCTATACAATCCATCCACGGGCATTTGGATCTCGTACGATGATCCACAATCGTTCGGATTCAAAAACACGTATATTCTGGACCACAAACTTCGTGGTGCTATGTTCTGGGAATTCAGTTCTGATCGAGGCAGTGAACTTATTGATTTAACCCATCAACAACTGAATAAAGGTGTCGTTCCAACTACCGCGAAACCGTCGGGAGCATCATCTACTCCAAAGACATCGAAATCCACGAAACCGTGGGGTATATCATCTACTCCAAAGACATCGAAATCCACGAAACCGTGGGGTACATCATCTACTCCAAAGGCATCGAAATCCACGAAACCGACGGTGTCTACAGATCCGTCAACACCGACGGCGAAAATTAAATCTTCGACCACTGCATCTTCTGGTGGACAAGCTGCACCCTGGAAAGTCGGCGTATCTTACGCAGTTGGTAACCAAGTCTCATATGAAGGGAAAGTGTACAAATGTATTCAACCAAACACGGCACTGGACAGCTGGATGCCAACAGCAGTTCCAGCATTGTGGCAAGTAGTTAACTGAATACTAACGAATAAAACGGACACAATAGAGATACTGAGTTTTTTTCTTAAATATTTTTTCAAATAAATCAGATCCTTAGAACGAAGTGATACCTGTAAAAGATATTTCTGTTATGTGTTTCAAGAGGATATAAATCCTCTTCGATGTTTGTTAAGACCATTACCTTTAGTCGCTCTTACATGTGATAAAGTCATCATAATCTTTCTATGTTCGGTTTTTGAACGGTGAATCGATATGTCGAACATTCTTTCAAAATCCTACTTAAAAAGAACGTGTTTCAAGATCACTAAAAAAATCATATGAAAAACTGTTGCAGTAAATGTGAGCTGATAAAAGAAGGAAATAAAATAACAACAGAAACAAAAATCACTATTCAAAGCTTATGTTAGGTCAGTTATTGAAGTATTTGTGCAAGTAGAAGCATTTTAAACATTTTAATTGCGATTCTATAATAACTTATTAAGTTCTAAAAATACAAGATGGTATCCGAGCTTAGTAGAATAATTTTCAAACGTGCTGAAAAATTTGACGAAGGAGAGAAAAAGAAGTAAGTTTGAAATATAAATCTGAATGCTATAGTTTACAATCATATGACTGTTTTTTAATTCGTTTTGTGAATGGAAATGATATGGGCCGGATTCATGTTGTTGTTAATCAAATAGGATAAAGAAAACTAACTCGAATGCAACTTTTTCAATATAAAAGAATTTTATGGCATATCTTAGTCGACATGCTGTACCATCCAGACAGATTAGAAATCAATTGTGAAAAAGAAATTTTTCTGCAACTAATTCACTCATAGTGGAGAAACTTGTCTTACTCTGAGAAGCCAGAAGAACTGGAAAAATCCAGTACGCGCCGAAAGTTTCGCCCGCAAACAAACTCGTTCATCTCACACATAGCAAGAACACAAGGAACAGTGATACCATTATTATACATAGTACTCACTGGCAATCCATGATTCATATTCAGCTTGGCTATTTCTTGTCGTTTTTTCAGATTAATTAAGTAATAAAAATAAATCAAAACTAAAAGTTAATTTAAACTTTAACTTTAACTTAAACCGAAACTTTAATTTCAGAACTTCAATCAAGAAAACTACGCAAATTATACGAAAGACGGAAAAAATCAAAACTTGATTTCTACGTTAATGCGTCAATGATTTCTTTCATTAACATTTTGAAAGTGAGAAAACCCGAATCTGCCATTATGTAGTCCTGACTTCGCTCTATCTTTTAGCTTCACTTCAAATTTTTTCACATCAAAACCCGTAGAGAAATAATAATTTTTCTGCCGGTTGTCACGCATTTTTCAATTAATCTTTTAAATTCTGTGTACGATGGCGCTTTCAATAAAAGTCCTATAACTCCATCAATACAAAAGATTTTTCGATCGGGTTTGTTTTGTTTTGATTAGAAATGATTGCTCTTCTCTACCTAACTGCAAAATCAAAACTTCAATCATGTTTTCCGTTTCTTGCTCGAGCCCATTGTTGGAAATCGGGAGTGTCAATTTTTGAAGTATTTTGATAACTTCGTTCTCCAGCACATCATCTGCTGTAAAAAAATTCTTTTACAGACCACGAGAAAGAGCACATTCAAAAGTACAAACAGAACTGCGTTCTCACTTTTCTGCGCTTTTCTATGGAAACAATAGCAGAAAAGAAAAGTTTAAGTCGAAAACAACACCAGATTTAGAAAGTTTTGATTTTTTTCCGTCTTTCGTATAATTTGCGTAGTTTTCTTGATTGAAGTTCTGAAATTAAAATTTAAGTATGGTTTTGTAGAGTATTTCGAGGCGCATGTTTTAAATGGAAACAGTAACCCTAGGGCCCTAAAGAAATACGGGAAAAATAGAAAATACTGAGGGGGTCATTTATTCTGCCACACGCGTTAGTAAAAAATGTGGACTCATTTTTATTACTTAATTAATCTGAAAAAACGACAAGAAATAGCCAAGCTGAATATGAACCATGGATTGTCAATGAGTACTATGTATAATAATGATATCACTGTTCCTTGTGTTCTTGCTATGTGTGAGATGAACGAGTTTGTGCGGGCGAAACTTTCGGCGCGCACTGATTAAAACTTAAAGATAAGGTAGAGAAGTTAAGACAGAGTAAGATACCGTTTCGAGTTTCTCCAGTTATGCAATTTATTCTGAGAATTACACACCATACCTACTTCAACTTGCACTGTAAAGTATTCGATATTAGGACGCAAATATATTTTACAGCCTTTTCAGGGCAGGGGTCGAGGAGGTGGGTTGTGAGAGTAAGTAATAAAATAATATTCTTTTCGTTGTCGTGGTTAGCTGACGCGTTGCTGCCTTTGCGTATTTCTTACTGCGAAGGAAAGTTCTGCCTTTCGCATTCTCTATATATAGACAAAATGAGACGTTGGAAAGTATGCCTTCTATAAAGTAGATGTAAGTATTTATATATGCAAGGATATGGGCACACAATACGGTGTCGGTATTATTATTTTTGAAAAACTGATTTAGTTCTTAAACATTTGAAGTTCAACAGGTTTACCCTCACTTCGTGCCAAGTTGACTTCTCAAGTCGTTCCATGACGCTTTTTTTCTCAGTTAATCTCACATTAGTTTAAACTTAGTTAGCTTTAATATAATTGTCCGTAACTCGTGCGTACGGTGATAAATATGTATATATAATAAATAACAGCAGTATCAACGAGGACTTTAATGGTATCTGGTTTGCATATGAGTATTGATTCATTCCGTAAAATTGTCACAGAGTCTGTACATAATGATATTGTACTTGAACATGTTCGACATCGCCAGTGATTATTTGTCCGTTCGTTTTTTGGTATATTGATATCCATCATGATTTAAAACTGGTTTGTCTTTTTCAGTAGACGTGAAAATTAACATTTTAATAAACAAGACAATTTAACTTATTTAGATTTAAATTTGTGACAGTAGTGGCTAACAGGGCACATTTTGCCATGCACGCACCTAATGTTGTCTACAATACCAACCGACGCTGTCTAAACTGTTTGATGGTACAATACTTTATTTACTTTGAGGTGCGAGCATAGATATCTGGGACGAACTGAGAAAAAAAACTTCATCGGCCGAACTGAGGAGTCAGTTGGGGACGAACATAGAAAAATAAATGAATTTCAACAAGCTGATTAAGGAAGATGAAACAATACGATAAACACAAGAGATTGTTGTCGTTATCGGTTAAGGCTTGACGTATTCACAATATCGAGATGTTGTCTGCATTCCGATTTTTAACAAATTACTGGTATACACAAATAGTTGAAAAGAGACCATGACTACTCTCAAAAGTGTTGTTTCCGTTTCATCATTTAATTAGTGCTAGTTCCAGATGCAGAAAGAACAACCTTCAAAGAAAATGTGTCAGAATTTAATTATGATATCTCATAAGCCTTTAGCTCTTAGTCTTGCTATAGCTGTGTGCAAGAAAGAGCGGGCTTTCGGAATCACGTGAAAAGAGTCGGATAAAACTTCATTTGGACAAAAACATTCGGCCAGAAACGCTAAAAGTCGATAAAACCAGGTAATTTTCCATGTTAGATGCAGTTTTATGAGACCGGTCTGATTTGTTAACATCTAGAATTTACATAATATCTAGATGTTGAGATATTCAGGTATCTTCTTCTTTTCTTTCACGGTGGCGAATATCAGGACGCGGCTCACTCTCATCTTCACTTGCCGCTCCCATCTTCTCTTTTCCCCATTTCTATAACATCTGAATATCTAAATATCTAACTTGAATATCAGAATATCTGAATATTTGAACATCCAGATATACATCTAGATATATTACGTAAACTGCAGATGTTCACAAATCAGACCCTACTGAGTTTCATATCATAATGAAGTCTTAAACTCACGAGATATGCACATAGTTCGAATCAATTTTTTCACAAGCTTTTTTAAACCTCAGAACTCGAAAACAGTTGTCGAAATTAGTCAAAAAAATTGAAAAACACGAAAACCGACGATTTGCGCATGTTAAACACGAAGATTCATCATTTTCAGTCAAAGTTACTAA